AATAAAAATAAAAATTAAAATAAAATAAAAAATAAAAATTAAATTAAAAATTAAAATTAAAATTAAAAAATAAAAATTAAAATTAAATTAAAATTAAAATTAAAAATAAAAATAAAAAATAAAAAAAAATAAAAAATTAAAATTAAAATTAAAATAAAATTATTAAAAAAATAAAAAAAATAAAATTTAAAATTTAAAAATTAAAAACTAAAAATTAAAATAAAAAAAATAAAATTATTAAAAATAAAAAATAAAAAATAAAAAAAAATAAAAAAATAATAAAATAAAATTAATACCTTCTTAGCGAAAAACTTCTCATTCGTAGAGAATATGACCTTCTTCTATATCTTCAGAAACAGGATCTATGATCTCTTGAATAACAGCGAGAATGTTATTATGATCACGTGAATGATAACGGTGAGAATGAGATCTACAATCCCAGCGAGAATGAGATCTATGTCAGTACTAGTACTAGTGATGATCTACATTCTGTCTTCTATACCAATGACGATTTATGTCTAAAAATAATAAAAAATAATAAATAAATTAAAAAATGGAAGTTTTAAAAGTAAAAAATATATTTCTTATTACTATTATTCAATAAATAATTACCAGTTCAAAGCCAAAATTCGTCACCCAACTTTGCATAAAATATCTGATCATGCAGAGTTGTGTTTGTTATTGGTTGATTATGAGGATTCTCCTCAGCTTCCAACCTCTTAAGATTTTCGTACCCATATTTTAATGAGTATCATTTCCTTTGACATTAAGAGGGAGAAACGACAAACCCTCTATTAATAAACAATTGATTGGATATAGTTCTCCATATCTTTTCATGGCGATTGTTAGAAATGAACTCAAAATCGTCATGATTATCATGTCTTAAACGAATTAATTCTCTTGCGATGTTGATGGTCCATTCGAATGGAGCTACAGCGGGAGCAGCCAAAGCCATAATGATAGAAATAAAAAAAAAGACGAAATAGGTGGGATTGAGAAATAAAAAAAATAAAAAACCGAAATAAATGGATTGAGAAATAAAAAAAGAGGAGGAGAAAACGAAATAAACAGGATCGAGAAATAAAGAAGGAAAAGAAAAAAATGAAATAAACGAAATCAAGAAATAAAAAGAGAGGAGGAAAAAATGAAATAAACGGGATCGAAAAATAGAGAAGGAAAAAGAAAAAAAATGAAATAAACGAAATCGAGAAATAAAAAAAGAAAAGAAAAAATGAAATAAACAGGATCGAGAAATAAAAAAAATGAAATAAATGAAATCGAGAAATAAAAAAAAAGAAAATAACGAATTAAACGAGATCGAGAAATAAAAAAAAGAACGAAATAAATGAGATCGAGAAATAAAAAAAAGAACGAAATAAATGAGATCAAGAAATAAAAAAAGAAAAGAGGAGAACGGAATAAACAAGATCGAGAAATAAAAAAAAGAAAAGAACGAAATAAATGGGATCGAGAAATAAAAAAAAATAATAATATATAAAAAATAAAAAAATAAAATAAACAGCAATCGAAAAAATAACGATAGATAAAAAAAAGAAAAAAATGAAATAAACGGTGATTGAGAAATTGACATAAAATAAAAAATCCAAAAAAAAAGAAAAAAAATGAATTAGAAATGGCGATCGAAAAAATTGGTGGAATAAAAAAAAGAAAAATGAATTAAAAGAATTGAAATAACAGATAAAACAATGAGAAAAATAATCGAAAAATAATAGATGAAGGAGACAAGAAAAGTTTGATATTTGTGATTTTATTATGATATATTGTGAAAAACGATAGATTCGTGAGCGTAAATTACATATATTTAT